GTCGCTCCCTCGTCGCGACGCCCGGCCCCGTCCGGTTCCCGTAAACCAACTACACTGTGGGTGGTGTGTGTGTGTGTGTGTGTGTGTGTGTGTGTGTGTGTGGACAGGGATAAGGAGGGGTGCAAAGTAAAAAGTTTTGGGACCCTGCATAGGAGCTCTAGTTGCAGCATGTCAGCTTCAGTCTCTTAGAACTGGCTGTAAAATCAGGCAATAGTGGTGTTTAGTAAATTATAATCTATCCTAGACGTCACAAATCCATTGGTCCATCTTTCTTTTGGTAATCTGGCAGTATTATAAAGACAATAAAAAAAGACAAAAGCAAAATGCTTGCAGGATAAATCTAAAATGTGAGTAATACCCCAGGATAGTATCTTCTTCTGACACCTGTGTCCCATTCCAATACCAGCATCACCCATCTGCCCAAGAGCAGTAGAATCCAGTGACTTGCAGGTTAGCTTCCCACTGCAAGAGAAACCAGTGATGTGGATGTGACACTATGCCCCATATTCATCATAATAATATTATTGATATGATAATTATGATGCATTTTGTACAAGATGGGTCATGTGAGGTGTCATTGGAAAAGTTATGATTTGCTGAATATGATTATCCTATTTGTATGCATGTATCATTATTTATCTGAAGTTATAATATTGACTATGAATCTGTATTTCAAATGGGCTTACTCTGGAAAACACCCACAGCCAGCCTTTCAGGTACAACCATGAAGAAGCCAGACAGTGCTAATTGCTCATCAACAAAGACAATGGGCTGTGGAATAGCTTAGCCTTCCTGTAAACGTTTCGGCCAGCCTGTAAGTAATGGCTGTTATGACTCTGCCAGGGCATGTGACCAGACCACATGACTCTGAACTCCATGTTGGGTACCTGTATTTTCCCACCCTATGGAAAAGCTGTACAAGGCAGGGAGTGACATCATCAGTTGTTCTTCACTCCCCCATAACTCAACACCTGAGAGAAGCTCTGGAAGAAAAGGACTTGGTATAGGGGTGGGGAGCCCAAGCTGCAAAGAAAGTGCAGCTTGTGCCTTGAGAATCTGAAAACCTGCTTGTATCATCAGTCAGGGTGAGAAATTGCTAATTCATATCCTATCTTTCAATTATCTTAAGCTTAGTTTGCAGTTTTGTTTATTTACTAGGTAATCTGCTTTGATCAGTTTGCTATCACTTATAATCACTTAAAATCTATCTTTTGTAGTTAATAAACTTATTTTATGTTTTAATCTAAACCAGTGTGCCTTTGACTGAAGTATTGGGGGAAAATCTCAGCTTGGTTTAACACAAGTGTATTGTGCATATTCCTCTCCACATTGAAGGAGAGGCGAACTGAATAATAAATTCATACTGGTCAGGATTTTGACCAGGGCAGTATGGTACAGCTCTGGGGTTTTAGGATGGGGAGCTGGGGGTTATTTTGGCTGCAGCCTCTCTATTGTTGGTTCATGCTGTGGCTGGCCAAAGCCTGCATGCAACTGCAGCTGGGTGTGTCCCTGCCTGTGCTGATGAAAGTGTAAGAGCAGGAGTGGTCCACAGCTTGTCACAGCAACGCTGTGCTGAGAGGGAGCCCAGGCTGGTGAATCAGAGGGCTCAGAGGTACCCCAGTTCCAGGTGGCACCCTGGGGAGACTTGTCACAGTGGAGTCTGGGTAAATGCAACTTTTTTATTTGCACATACACCAGTCCTGGAGCAGAGCTGGTCAAACAGCATGCAGGTGATCCTTCTTTCAGCAATGGCAGCCTAGTGCCTGGTTCCCAGGGAGCAACTCTGTCTCAAGAATTGGCACCAATCAGAGACCAAAGCAGACAGCAAACTCTTTGGCTTGCTCCCACAGCTCCTTTTCCAAGGGTCACCTCCTCTACACAGAGCTTTGCATAACTAAAATTACTAACAACTAAATGGCATGTCTGCCCAAGACTGAACATTTTCTTGCACACTAAAGAAAACAACTTGGAAGACTATGTTAACAGTGACACCTGCCATCACAATATTCATACATAATAAATTACCAGAAAGGGAAAAATACCCAAAACAATTCTAGGATATATCAATAACATTCCATTCTTAATAGGATTTAATTTTACAGATATTTGGCTTGAATATCTCAATCAAAATTAAACCAGTTTAACCTAATTTCAGACAATACCACAAAACAGATTAACTGTATTAAATGCTGCTAAAAAAAAGCCAAAGAAACCAAGTTTTAAAAAACAAAACAAAACCTCCTGCCCCATCAGATGTATTTAAACAAATATTACCTTTAAAATCTCAGGTTAGAGATTAGCCCTTTGGACTGTATGTCCAGTTGGCCTTTCCCTAAACTCCAACGGTGTATACAGACATACTGTTTGCATGCACAAAAGCCTTTTTGCACACAGAAACTCCTGCACACACTTATTTCCATGTGCACAATTAGAGGCAAATTTTTTAATTGCCAGCCAATGAGTCATTGCATAAAAGCACAGAAATATGAATGATGAATTCCTTAAGAATATCCCCGTTTATATATAGCTATTTCTTACTCTTCTTCTAGTTTAAAGCTGAAGTGGTATGTTATACAGCAAAAGTGATTGTGATAGTTAGGCACCAAAATGCAGTAAATTGAGAGTAGCAATAGAATCAAAGCCAAAGTGTGCTCCACTCCTGCTCTCCTAGACTTCAGACACATGTGTTTTTGTCTGGCATTTTTGTATTCCCATCTCTCTCTTTCGCTGCTCTCTTTCCCCTCTTCATCTTCTCTTTTTCCTCGGTGTGTCCCTTCTGTCTCCTTCATCCTCTTTGTTCTTCTTAGCTTTTCTTATTGCAAGTAGGCTTCTGTGTGAAAAAGTTTTCCAAACCACAGAGATTCGACCATATCTGTATGGAAGATGTCTATTTCTGCTGCCATCTCTGTCTCTTAGCTTGGTCACATTCTTGACTGAGAGGGATACAGAATGTTGGCAGAGGATAGATACTAATGAAGTACAGTCTTTGCCACTTTTACTAGTGATTTTGACTAGGCATGGGACATGAGGGATGGGGCAGTCATTATTAGTATTCAGTCTATTTACTGGAAAACTAGCCAGTAAGGCTGTGGAAAATTTTCTGTAAAACCTTTTTTGAGGGGGGGGGGGAATAGGGTTTTTTTTCTTTAAAAAAAATAGAAATTTTTTGCTGAAAGATTCTGGTTTTCTGATCAATCAAAAAGCAAAACCACTCAAGCTAAAATGTTTTGGTTCTTGGTATTTTTGACCATAAATTTCAGTTTTTGATAGCTGAAAACTAAAAAAAAATTTCATTTTTTCAAAACATATCAAATGTTCCGGTGGGGGGTTGTGGTGGTGGAATTCCAAGCTGTTCTACTGGCTGATCTATCACACACTTGAGAGGTGTGGCCAGATTTTGTCTTCAGAGAAGGCATTCCTGACTTTGGTCACTCGTGTTTTTGATAAATACTTTTTTCCCCACCCATGATGGTTGTCAGGGTTCTGACTCATAGTAGTGGCTCAGGATATCACGTGTTGGTGTCTGAGATTGGTCTAAATGTTAAGAGAGGTTGAGTGGCCCCTGCTTTTTGCCAGTTTGGTATTCTTTGTCCCTAAGAGACTGTTTCATACCCACACAATCTCCAGCTCTGGAGTTTCCGCTGGAGGTGGGCAGCTTTAGTTTCAGAGCAGCCCACCAGTCTATATTCTAGTGACGATATTCTGAATCAGCAAATCCCGCAGCGGGCCATCCTTCAATTTCTTGAGATGTACTAACCAGCTGCAGGGTCCCTGAAAGAAAGAACATTTCATGTCACTTCAGCCCCTCTCCAGGCAGACTGTCCATCAGTAGAGTCTGCACCAGTAAAAGCTGATACAGACACTGAATTAATCTGTCCATAATTGCCTCAAATGTGTAATATTGCCATCTCAATTAATCAGTGGTGGATGTAAGATTGGCAGATGGGTTCTGTAGCATAATGAAAGGATGAGAAGCCAAAGAAGCGGGAATGGGGGGCAGCATTTGCAGTTTAAAAAAAGAAAGCTCTTGTGACTGCAGGATGCATGTTACACAGCCAGACACAGAAACCTTAATTTGATTCCTCTTTAAGGACCTACAATGCCAAGATAAAGTAACATGTAGTTAACAGAAGTCAAAGAAGTGCAAAAGCATGTTTAACATCTAGTTGCAGATAATGAAAAATGCTCAGTAGCAATGTTGATAAACAAACCTATAAACAACTGGAATGATTTTACAAAGTCACTGCACAGCTAAACCATCTGACAACATGCAGCTGTTTGGGTCACTCAGACATCTAACCCTTGTCTCCTTCAACCTTCAAAGGAGTAATATGAACTAATTACTAAACATTATCCAAAAACATTAGCACTGCTGATCCAGAGATTAACTATTCATTTTAACCCACTAAAAAATCCTCACGTTTTAATGTGAAATTCTACAAGTACAGTACAGATATTTTTACCTGGTGAGACATATGGTTCAAGCTAGGGATTTGAAGTAGAATGTAATCAGAATTCATGTCACAGCAGTACTTCCTGTTCTCCATGCAATCTCCATGGTCATGTGTGATAGTAAAATGGTGCAATATATTTAGTACAAATTCAAGTTGGAACTCCTTCCTGAAGAGATCACTGAATTTACAAGTCAAGATTGCTGTGTTAAGAAACTGTTCAGGATTTTTAGTTACATTTTTTAATATGTTTAAAGTTTTGCTCCTCAGAATGAATTAATAAGATACCACATTCCATTTTCCACTCCCTTCTTAAGACACATTTCTTCCATAAAGCCTTCCAAAAATAACCACTGCAAGATTCCAAAACCAACTTGAAGTAATAACAGTACCTCCGTGTGTTTGCACTGATTTGTCTTTGTCTGAATTAGATTATAATACTTAGGAGCCAGGACGAGTGTTTTCTCATGTCTGTATAACCCCAAGCCTACTCTCAGCAGGCAACAAGTAATAAGATATATTTCCTGAGGAACAACTGGTAAAAAAAAATATTTTGCTTATATACATGTCATACCTGCTATATTGATGAGTCAAGCACTCAAATCCTAAATCAAGCCCCCAAAATCATGAGATTGGTTTAAAAATCATGAGATTTAAAATACTAATAATTTGAGGGTGTTTTTATTTTGGGTTTTGAGCCACTAGGGTGAGCTCAGGTCACATTTTCAAGCTTTTCTCTGCAACCATGAAACTTACTAGGGCTAGACACTTCCTTTTTTTTTTTTTTAATGAAAGCTGGGATTCTCTTGTAATCACTTCACATCAACTGGGGCCTTTAGAGAAAAACTAGATATTGCAAGACTTCTATAAAATCACAAGAATCCGCAACACTGCATTACATTACAAATGGAGTAGAGGTGAAACTACCAGACTGATGGCAGTGAAAACTGAAGTCCTATATCTGTGTGTCCAGATATAGGACAGAGCTAACTTTCCTGTGCCACCTTGCCAATGAGTGTCAATTCCAATCTGTAATGGGCCACCTCTGTGGGTGAGTTCACTCACTATACCAGTTAAATAATTTATCCTCCATGGAGACACTGCTAACAACCAACTGCAGAGGTGGCGGTTTTTTATTGTGTGTTTTATTATGTATTATTAAACTATTGCCAACCTTAAGCCTTCAAAAATCATGAGTCAACCCCAAATCAGGATATTAGTTTAAAAATAACAAATGTTGAGGTGGTGTGGGTTATTTGCCTTCTGGTTGTTTAGACTTTCCTATTCAGATTTTCAAGCTTTCTTCTGCAATCCTTTTAATGATGGCTGAGAGTTTCACACAATCACATGATTCCAGGTGCCGAGGCTTTATGAAAAATGCCAAATATCATAGCAAAAGCATGAACATTGGCAGCACTTCCCCTGGCTACTGGCTACCATGAACATGGACTGAGACCAATCTAATTCACACAGGCCACAAAACAGTCATCAGATGGCAACTTGTGCTGGCCTCCTCTGACCTGCTCTGGTTCTGACCCATTCTGCCTAGTACCAAGAGGCAAGGCTCCACATACCGTGCAGCACATTGTATATGCTAAGCCCTCCATCGAAGCCCTAAATTTATGTGGCATTTCTGCAGTAAGTATGCAGCATTCATATGAACATGGCAATAGGAACTGAATGATTACAGTTTGTTAATATTGATTCATTAGCAGTGATACATTCATTAACTGAAGGACTACAAAATCATTCCATTAACTGTAAGCTTCTCATTTGGAAGAGCAGAGAAAAGGCAGCGGCAGAGTATAAAGCAATGTCCTGAGGGGAGGAGGGAAGGCTTACAGGAGGAAGCACCTGGCGTCTGGGTTCCAAGCTCTGCCGTAGTGGAGTTCTCCACTTATATTCTGTGCCACTCAGGAATTGTAGAATGACAAGTGCCTTCTCCTGCAAGAATCCCCCGATCCTTCCCAAGGTATGTAAGCCCCTTTTGATCCTCATGCCACTATACGCTTCCTGGTCCTTCACACACCTGGCCATCCTCTGCTCCTCTTCCTTGCCTGTGGTGCACCTAAAATGGTCTGTGGGCAAGTTGCAAAGCTATAAAGTGGTAGGAAAACTGATAGTTTTTAAGATGTATGCATGGCAGATTTATGTGACATCCTGGCAAAAAAAGGTAAATTATGTGGCTGTGAGTGTAAGCACATAAGTACATGGCCTTGCCTAAAAGTGAGGGAATGTATAGCCTCTTACTACTGCCCTCAGCTATCTAATTGTTTTACATGGAGATACCCTATCTCCTAGAAAGGTCATTGAGTCAAGTCCAGCCCCCTGCCTTCACTAGCAGGACCAAATACTGATTTTGCACCAGATCCCTAAGTAGCCCCCTCAAGGATTGAACTCATAGCCCTCAGTTTAGCAGACCAATGCTCAAACCACTGAGCTATCCAGTCTCCCTACTGGCCTTAAGCTTAAGCATTTTACTATGAAAGCTGTCTCTCTGCTAAATGTTCTGCCTGCATATTGACTAGATCTACTGAAGTCAAATGGTTGTCTTTTGTTCACAGAAAACTCCCATGAGCTCTGACATTCACTCTGAATGACATGGAAACTTCCTGCTTCCTTAAGAAAGTAAGTTTTTCCCCTTTTTGCTGCTCAGAAAGCAGTTTTCCAAAACTATACCCTTCTCTTGTAACCATTCAGTGTCTCCTTGGAAATGCAGTAAACACTGTTCAGGGAACAATTTAATGTCACCCTTCAAAATATCTCTGTTAGTTTATCCTGTTTGTAATCAGAAATTTTGCAGCTTGCATGTATCTATCTCATCTGCGAGTTGCTATACTGGCACCTATTGGCAATGATAGATAAGGCAACTTACTAAGAGTGATTAAGTTCTTGCGTTTGTTTTAACTATTACATGGTGTCAGAAGGGAAACTAATAATTTGCCAGAAAGTAGAAGTAGTTCACATTCAGAACTGTAAAATCTCAAAAGATATACACTTAACAAGAATGGACTCTACATTAGCACTGTCTTTGGAAATTCCAGACTTCTAAAGGTTGCTCAAATGGGTTCAACTTTTTTCCAAATATTTATGAATACCACACAAACTGATTAAAATAGAATATTAATTGGCTACACAAAATGACACAAAAGGTTGGTTTGCAGACATTTGGCCAAATACTATTCTCAGTCAGGTGGACACTGAAACAAAAATAGGAAATGAATTTGTTTTGACTTTTTTTGCAACTCTGTTGAGCTCCCTTTCTGAGACCATTCTAGCAAACAAGTTTGCTGGCTTGGATGTTCATGGGAAAAAGGGAATTTTAAGAAAATATTTTCAGAAAGAGTTTTTAAATCATAAAAGTGAACATTTGCCCCAGACAAAGGCATGTCTACATGAACAGTTAGTACATAACAAGCCGGGGTGTAAATCTACAGTGCAGTTGTGTGGCACACACTAACTGTCAATGTGGACTCTGCTCTTCCGTACACTATCAATTCCTAGTGTGCTTTGATCTACTCCACTTTGAAATGGATCCACACAGACAGTTAGTGTATGGCATGCTAGTGCACTGTAGATTTACACCCCAGCTTGCCATGTACTGACTGTATGTAGACAAGTCCTGAGAGTTGCACTCTGAGATGTTGTCTATCCTGGTGCCAGTTCAGGACAGGGCTGCAGGCTAATTCATTCATATACTAACAGAAATCAAAGGAGTGTCAAAAGTTTAGTGTAATCAGGCCAATTCACTTGTGTGTTAGTTTAGTTCAAAGGAAATGTTTAATGATATTGTCTTCACTCATCTATAACCTGTTGATTGCTATCACATTATATGTATTTCCCTGTAACTAATTAACCCTAGTCAAAAATGTGTGTTAAAATGAGAATGTACTTGATGTGTAAACTTCATGAAAACTAATGAAGGATTATTGTTTGCTATTACATTACCTTTTACATTGTGTATACCCTTAAATTAAGTTACCCATCAAATGCAATTGGAGCCTTGGAAATTTAAATGAAGAAGAGTGCTAACTTCAGAGCAAGGGCCATTGTGTTCAACCATGGGAATTCACAGACTCAGTCTGCATTTCCTACTCATCAGCATCAAAGGAAAACGCACGTGCTAAGAGAAACTGTCAGCTTGTCTTCTGTGAGAAGAAGATATAAATATGGATTCAAAGAATGATCCTGAATCTCTGAGTGTTTAGATTCTTATAGGGAAGATACCAAGTGTGAAGTGGAGATCCCCAGAAACATCTGGGTTCCCTGAAAAGACTTTTGGGAAACTAGCAGTTTATTACATCAACTGCTATAATTTTG